AGGAGCTGATGCCAAGGGCTTAAGTGGAGAGCAAATGTTTTGAGAATGATGAGGGCAACGAATGGACAAACGTGCTTGACACGATTGATGTATGCGTGGTTTGTGATAAGAGTTGTATGAGCCCCCAGTAAAATGATTTTTAAAAAGAGAAGAATCACAGACGCTGAGAGGGCGTCCTAAAGTCAAAGGTGAGGTCCCTGGCTGTTCGGAGTCAGAGGCTTAGAGCCAGGTCCCGGGGGGCGAGGGGTGAGGGGCAGCGGGGAAGGTGGGCGTTCTCTACCTGGTGCCGCCAGCGGAAGAGGCTGGCTGTGTCGATGTTGGGGTGCGTCTCGTCTTCATCGTCCGACACCTCGATGTGGTCCCACACGCTGTAGTCCACCATCTTGCCTCAGCCGCCCACCCGCTCCGGCTCCCGCGGCGACGGAGACTCGGCCACTGGAACCCCGCCCCTTCCGCTTCCGCCCGGACGCACGCGCGCGCCCCGCGTGACGTCACATTCCTAGCAACCGCAACGGCGGCACTGGCGACCGAGCGCGCCTTAAAGGGCCCTGTGCACGTGTTCGGACTCGGGAGAGTCCCCACCCCCACCCCGAGAACCTGCCTCAGTGGGTCTGGGGGCTCTTCGGGGCGCCTCTCGAGGGCACACAGGCCGGCACCCCAGCGACAGTGCCCTTCACTTCCCGCCGCTTCCAACGCAGCGTTTGCCGCGGTCCCGGCAGTGTAGACTGGGGTTGTCGCCTTAGCCACGCCCACGTGACGTCAGCACGAGCCCACTCGGAAGGCGGGGTCTCGACCAGTAGACCCGCCCCTATCCCTTGTAAGGGGTGTTAGCCTAGAGCTGGGAAGACGTCGGAGGGAGACGAGGTGCGACCGTTGGGGGCTTGTGTTTCCCGGTCCACAGTCCTCTCAGAAAGACACACACACACACACACACACCCGAAAACACCCACCCCCTCCTTCCCTCCCTCTGGAGTCACCTCTTGGGCTAGCGCCTGCGACGTCCCCACGGGTGGCCACTGGGTGTCACTAATGTCTCGGCAGGGTCCAAGGCTTCCGGCTCCGCGCCAGGCTGGGAAGTGCGGCCAGGTGGTCGGGGGGCTTCCCTTCGCGCCCACCTCCGCGGCCGCGCGACGCTCCTTCCCCTGCGTCTCGGCCCCTTCTCCCGGGGCTCCAACGACTCCATGACTCGGAGCTGGGAAGACCCGACCTGCACACTTCCAGGTCTCCCGGCCCAGGATAAAAGGCCTGGTTACGGCTGAGGACTAAGATGATCGGATTAAAGGGCGCTTGGGCCCCGGGGGCAGGGGGGATGGGATGAGCGGCGCTCCAGTCCCGGAGCGAGGGGTGCTTCTTCCCAGGCTCCCCAACAGCTGGTGATGGGAGGACGACTAGGATCGGTGGAAAGAGCTTA